GAGGGATGGGGCAGTGACCATCCTCCCCTCTCCCTTCCTCAGATCCGCGTGTTTTTATATTTCAGCATAGGACCGATACTGACGGAAAGTTGTGAAGTATCAAGAAAAGAAAGTAGCGGCAGGAGCTTCACTAAGCTCCCCCCCCCCCCCCCCCCACCTTCCCTCTTAAGACAGTGCTGGCTGCGCCGCTGCTGCTGGACATAGCTGTAACGTGCCGCTCTTTCTCAAGTGGTCATGAGTCTTCAAGCCCATTTCATTTGGCGCGTTTATGACTTCACTGCGGCACTTACTCCCCACATGTGGGCACGGTTTCTCCGCGTCCCTTCCTCACTTGGAAATACACCGGTGCGTCTCTCTCCTTAACTTAGACATGCCCCACTGCCTATCTCCCTCATTTAGGCGTGTCCTACTGTGTCCCTCCCTCGCCTGGACATGTCCGACTGTCTCTCTTCCCCTCATCTGAACATGTCTCCCACTGTGTCTCTCCCCTCACTGGACACATCCTACTGCGTCTCTCTCTCTCTCGCCTGAACACATCCTACTGCGTCTCTCTCCCTCGCCTGAACACACCCCACAGTGCCTCTCTCGCTCACCTAAACACATCCCACTGTGTCTCTCTCCCTCACCTGAACATGTCCCTCTGCATCGTCATGTGGCGTGGCCGCGGCTCCGGCTCGTCCTCACCCCACCCGCTGGAAGCCGGTCCCCGGCGCTCTCGTGCCCGCCGCCCGTCGACTCACCTGGACATGGCTCCACTGTGCTGGTCTCTGCCGACTCGCACCTGTCCAGATCCAGCGGCTGAGTGAGGGCTCGCTGCGGACGGCGCTCCACTTCACCTCACCGGCCAGGGGCGTGGAAACGGCCCCCGATCCGAGGGAGGGGCTATCCCTCCCCTCCCCCTCCCCGGGCGACCAATATCTGCACGTGCCGCCGGCGCTGTGGCCGTCTATGCAGCCGTGCCAGCCTTGGGAAACGGGGAAGGCGACTGTGGCAAGGACGAACGCCCTGAAGTTGGTTATGCTTATCATGGAGCGCCGTTTGAGGGCGATGGTCATTTCGGCGAATTTCCGGTATTTTCCGCCGCTGCATGACTAGGATACTGCTACATTACGTAACGTTTTGTTTAGAGCAAAGACACATGGATTATAATGTCAAACGCCGGTACCGGTGCCGCCACGAAGCGGACGTTACAACGCTGTCACGAATAGGACGTTAAAACGTGTCAACCTTTCCCTACTAACCCCGTGTTTTCATGAACTGTTTAGCGTAAACGGAGAAGGGAACGTATGTTGGGTGTTCTTTGTCCGTGCTGGGGTGGCAAAATATCATTGTTTCATGTGCTTTTGGGTGAATACACAGAATGCCATACCGACAAGGCTCTTGACTAGGCCACCCGTTTAAGAAAAACAGCCCATGAGTGTTCGAACGGACTAGCGCTCTTCGCACGCTGGATCCATTGGCTGCTTATTCGGTCCCCCAAAATCGCTGTTGCGATGGTCGATAGACTAGCCCCCCGGACGGCGCGCGGTCACTCTTCAAAAATACGCGTTCCCATGAGAGAGCTGTGTGTTCTGAGATCTGATGTGCCGACAGACTTGTGCTTGACTTCAGTGGAATCAAGACCGACTCCGGAATCGATTTTGTGTTGGTCCGAATCAGATTCGGATTCGGCTCCATTGGTTACGCGGCGGAATCGGGCTAGATGAGATTCGCATAGTTTCAACAAAACGAAAATGCATTTGAACCCGTTTCGAACATAACCCTCTCTGGAACCGGTGCACCCACAACTTATGGTGTGTTCGCATTTGGTGAGTTGTCTGGTTTGAACGCGGTAGCGTTAAGTGTAAAATGGAAACTTCTGGAGCCTTTACCTAGTTATTGGTAATCAGGAGATATTCATGGTAATGATTGATAATATATATATATATATATATATATATATATGCATATATATATACATATATGTACGAGATATATATATATATATATATATATATATATAATCAGTACACACTGTCTTTTATCCCCATCGTATACATCATGGTTTGAATTTGTCTTGTCTTTCGACGTAGAATTGGTCTCCTGTTCATGCTGGTTCATGCTGGCATGGCGGGAGCAAAGCAACCAACGATGAGGTAAAAAAAGTCCGGTATGCAAACCATTCATAATTGTCTACATGTTACCAGTGACATGCCTATCTTCAATAAATGTATTCAACGTACAGATAATGTGCCCACCACCAGCCATGTGATTAAGTCAGCACAGCTTAACAACAGACAAAGCAAACGAACGCTCTGCTTCTCAAAAGCGGTTGACAAAACACGAATTTCGTTTCGGTCAGCATCCGGCGAGGATGGCTCAGCGCAGGATGTGTCCTGAATACCTACCCATGTCTTAGAGCATCTCAACATCAGCCCCCTGCAAAAATGCTCGCCGTTTCTTGACATCTCCAGAGAAACCTGAGACGTAAGCTAGCCTGGCGAGACAGTAACCAGGCTAT